AGTTAGGGTTGGAAAGGACCTTAACATCATCTAGTTCCAACCCCCCTGCCATGGGCAGGGACACCTCACACTAAACCATGTCCCTGCCCATGGAAGGGGGGTTGGAACTAGATGATGTTAAGGTCCTTTCCAACTCTAACTATTCTATGATTCTATGATTCTGTAACATTTCCTTATGCTTTTGTCCTTCCACCTTTGCAAATGCATAGATTTTTGTCTGTGTTTCAGCTGGGTACACAGCACAGCAATAATTTAGAAGTGTTCTTCCTCTAGCTGACAGTGAAGTTTTTTCTGGCATTTGTTATGTACTTATCTATTTACTGTATAACTAAATGTCTACTGGAGAAGGGGAGAAAGAGGGAGAAAAAGGGAGGAAAAGCTGTAACTATAACCAGAGAAGACAGAGACACTGTTGATCAGCTAGTCTACTTCCCTTTAAAAGAAGTATTATTCTCCACAATATATTTTCCTCAAAATCTGTCCAATCTCATCTAAAGTTATTTTAAGCACCATCTTTTCTATCATATTTCTTCTAAGATCATTTCACAACACATCTCATGGCTGGGAACTAGGTCCTAATATACAAACTAAATTTACTCCGAATGATTCATGAAAACTTTACTTATGAACTCTTCATATGAAGTGGTATGATAATTCTAAAAATTGAGTACCTAGTCAAGTGTCCTGAAATTTCCTGTATTGCTACTTTGCTTCTTATTTATGGTTAGTTTACTAGTTAGGGTTTTGCTGTTTTTTTTCCTTCTATTGTCTTTGTTTGCTTTATTCTATCATTGTGATCGACATAGATAAATCAGAGCTACATGCCACACCGAATTCATTTGGCTCATTCAAGATTCATGTAATTTTGACTTGTAATTAAGGCATAGGTTTATAAATTTTTTAACCCTCATGCTACTCTGATCTGTTGCTTCAAATTGAGTGACATGAGATTCAGTTCCTCACCTGTAAAATGGATGCAATGCAAAATGAGAGGAAAATACTTCTATTTTGGCCTATTCAAGCTGTCAGCTCTCCAGGAAAGAGTTAAGAAATAGTCAAGAAACAGTCACATGATGAGAAATAATCAACAGTTGAAAATCATCACAATTGGGCTGATTTATTACTCTCTTTAAAGAGATATGCACATTACTCCTAGAAGAATAATTAGCAGTTAACTGAATTCAGGCAATACAAAAAGTATTTCCTAATGTTCTATCTTTGAGTTTCTCACAGTTGTTTGCGGCACTTCAGTTTTATTGCCTTGCAGCTATCAAAACACTTTGAAAATTCATCAGAAAAGTTCCAAGTATACCCAGTTGTGCACCTGATCTGTCTAAACAACTGATTTCTGTCTTTATACATTGGTCCCCGTGCAACATTAGCACCTGCCAGTAGTAATTGAAGCCTGGCATCCCAAATAATAATTTTCCACAAAATTTGGAACATTAGTTGCTATTTTCAGTATAAAAATAAACAAGTCTATGTATGAAAGCCTGGAGATCACTATATAAGACAGAGTATACTCCCAAGCCAGAGAAAACACTTAGTTAATTTATTCCATTTGTATGCTACAATTTCGTGAAAAAAAATATGCAGTGGAGTTCCGATGTTAACTAGGTTTGAATTTTTTTTCATAAGAACAATTTAATTGAGCCTGTTGAAAGCCACACATTTAGTGGTACCTGAGCTTAGAAATAATGAAAAATATTCAATATATTTGACTACAAATAAGTTAATTTCATAAAAACAAAGGACAAACAAATTAAACAACAAATTGATTTGTGTTCTGATGTAAGTTTCAATCCAGTGCAAAGAAGTTCAATTTTTCACATGCTGAATAATGTAGTTTTAAATCAATTGAATTTTTTCTTCTTTCATAATCGAACTCATTTAATGGAGAAAAAATGCAGTTATGTATCCCAGTCACAGCTACAGGTTGGGCAGAGAAAAGATTCAGAGCAGCCCTGCGGAGAAGCACTTGGGGGTGTTAGTCAAAGAGAAAATGAACATGAGCTGGCTTCAGTGTGCGCTTGCAGCCCAGAAAGCCAACCGTATCCTGGGCTGCATCAAGAGGAGCGTGACCAGCAGGTCAAAGGAGGTGATCCTGCCTCTCTACTCTGCTCTCGTGAGACCTCCCCTGGAGTATTGTGTGCAGTTCTGGTGTCCTCAACATAAAAAGGACATGGAACTGTTGGAAAAAGTCCAGAGGAGGCCACGAGGATGCTCAGGGACTGGAGCACCTCCTCTATGAAGACAGGCTGAGGAAGCTGGGGCTGTTCAGCCTGGAGAAGAGAAGGCTGCGTGGAGACCTCAGAGCAGCCTTCCAGTATCTGAAGAGGGCCTATAGGGATGCTGGAGAGGGACTCTTCATTAGAGACTGTAGCGATAGGACAAGTGGTAACAGGTTAAAACTTAAATAAGGGAAGTTTAGATTGGATATAAGGAAGAAATTCTTTCCTGTAAGGTTGGTGAGTCACTGGAATGGGTTGCCCAAGGAAGTTGTGGATACTTCATCCCTGGTGGTGTTCAAGGCCAGGTTGGACAGAGCCTTGGGTGACATGGTTTTGTGTGAGGTGTCCCTGGCCACGGCAGGGAGGTTGGAACTAGATGATGTTAAGGTCCTTTCCAACCCTAACTATTCTATGATTCTATTCTATGATTCTATTAGCACAGCTGTACTGTCAGCACTGGAGTTAGTGGAATTCTCCAAGGCCAAGCATCACCAATCTTTCATCCATTCAAGAGGAAAACATTAAATGACAGAAGTAATGACCTCATCTCACCTTAACAGCAAGTGTTCATTTTGAGTTTATCTTATAAACACCTACAGGGTGTTTCTCATTCAGTCAGTACGGGGAGTAAGACTCATCTGATTAAGCACGCACATTCTCATTTGAGCAAGATAATGGACAGTAAGTTAACACAGGCAATAGCATCCAAGATGCGCAAACCTGTATTAAGAAAGCTTTCTGAATCCCATTTCTGACTGTAGCTCAGGCTCCAAATATATGATACTGCTATTCTATGATTCTGTGATTTCCACCTTCAAGGAATTGAGGTCACATTATTCTCTTCAAATACAGCAGTTCTCAGATTCACTTCTGGCTTTTTCTGTGAACCTTGCCCAGCAAAGTAGACTCTTTGCCCTAACAGATAGCTTTGGTAGAGTAGAATGTTCCCCTTTCTGCTTTCCTTTTCCTCAAAAGCAGACTTTTTCAATGATAAGATGATTTCCCCATAGGCAGGGAGAGGCGTAACATCACTGGGACCAGAGGTTTGGAACTGCCTCAGCAGCTTGCTTTCTCAATAGGTGGCCAAGCAAAATAACTTGGTTTAATGGTGCTATTCCAGCACTTAGTTCTTTGGCACTTATCATAAACATTTTCTAGATAGAAAACAGGTGTTCCAACATGATTCACTGGGCAGAATGAAGAACGATTCCCTCCCTGGCATCACTGTACATGATGTATTCAATGATTGCTACTTTCTGATCAAGAATACATTCACTCATCCAGAAGAAAGAAATCCATCTGGTTATCTAGTCAGGAATGAGCTGCTCAAACAGAAAGTCATTACTTTGGTGGGGAGAAGGGAGGAGTGTCTGGAAATATGGCTGACTGAACAAGTGTTGCTTAACTTTAAAACCAGAGAATATTATGTGGCCATAATATTCAGGAGTTTGTTTTTTTTTCATATGGGGAAGCATATGTAAGTGGTAACAAAGAAGATGAAAGATGGAAGGAAAAGGGGGGGAGAAAAAATAATCTAGGAATCAAATTCTTACCCAGTATATGGTATTATTCCAGAGGCAATGAAGTTTGCTGACTCATGTCAAGTGAGAATTTACTTCTGCAGATAGAATCACAGAATCATAGAATGGTTTGGGAGAAGGGACCTTTAAAAGTCATCTAGTCTGATTCCCCATGCAGTGATCAGGGACATCTTCAATTGGATCAGGTTGGAACAGGATGGAGCTCAGAGCTCCATCCAACCCAATCTTGGATGTTTTCAGGGATGGGGCACCTACCACCGCTCTGGCAACCTGTGCCCATGTCCATCAACTTCATCGTAAAAAAAGTCTTCTTTATATTTAGTCTGAATCTCCCCTGTTTTGGTTTAAAACCATTTCCCCTTGTCCTATCACAGCAGGCCCTGCTAAAAAGTTTGTCCCTACCTGTCTTATAAGACCCCTTTGAGTATTGAAAGGCCTGTAAAAGGTCATTCCCCCACCTGTATTGATACTGGGGGTTGCAGGACCTTGTACTTGGCCTTGCTGAACCTTGTAAAGTTCACATGGTCCCACTTCTCGAGCTTGCTCCGTATAGAATGGCATGCCATCCCTTAGGCGCGTCAAACACCACTCAGCTTGGTGTCATCTGCAAACATGATGTTGGTACACTTGATCTCACTATATCCTTGAAGAAGACATTAAACAACACTGGATATAAAACCCGATTTTTATAATCATTAATGCAGCAGTTGCACTAAAAGGTCCACATTGCCCTTAATTGACTGGAAGCACTCAATTTCCTCTTCCAAACACAGAGAAAGACTTCAGCATTTTAGCTAGTCTCGCAACAACTGTTTGTAGATGCTGCTTTCCCTAAGGCTGATTACAGAGTACACTCTTAACACCTGCATCACCTAGAAAAGCTCAAAATTGGCTTTGGATGAAGGGCGAATGATTTTGTGATGAACAGCATTTAGTGCAATGCCATGGTGATGGTCATAAGAGATTCTGGAATTGGCACTAATTTTTGTATCTAAGAAACATTGAAAATAACTTTCCAGGATATTAACTTTTATTTTCCAGGAGCAGGCCTACTATAAATGTTATTATATTCTTTCTTCTAAGAAACAGGTAAAAGTGCTCATTTACTTTATTTTCTCTCAAGAATTGTATTGGAAAACTAGCACTCCACCACCATGAATTCAAACCAGAGGGTAGCCCCCATAATTCTATTGTGATCTATAATATATCTTCCTGCCTCTATGAAGTACTGACATAAGATCCAGGAGCTACAGAGATCCAGTCCAGATGTGTTTGAATCCTGCATGGAAAAAAGAACTGAAGTGAAAAAGCAGCCTATGAGGTACTCCAATAAAGGAGAATTTATCAGATGCATGGAGGAAAAGGCAAAAGGCTTGGGCTCAAAGATATCTAAGGGTGGAATCACAAAGGACAAGACACTTGATTCAATTCTGAGAGTTGAGATGGTGAAAGAAAAGTCAGCGGAGGAGATAAAACAGATTTGGAATCAGTATTTTTCTGCAAAAGACATGGTTTATGCTGCTATTCCTGCAGAGAAGTTTGATTTAATATGGAAGAGAGCCCAGAAATGTTCATCGTTTCTATATGCTTTGCAGAGAAAAGAAGGCTACAAGTTCTTTGTGGGGCAGTGGTCAGGAACGGAATTGCACTTCGCTTCCCAAATAAACATTCAGACCCAAGGTGAAACTGCCGCTAGTCAGTTGGTCCTGTACCATTTCCCCGATCTACAGAAGGAAAAAGAGGTAGTTCTAATGACAGCAGAAACGGACTCCAAGTTCTTGGTGGTACATGAAGCACAGTGCTTGGGGAATCAGGTGCAGCTTTTCTATGCAACAGATTATTCTGAGACCTATGAACTAGTGGAGTCCTTCAACCACGCATCTAGTGAATTTAAATATATGTCAGTTATAGCAGAGCTTGAGCAAAGCAGGCTTGGAAGAGATCTGAGACCTCTTAAATTTAAAAATTTTAACCATGACAAGTGCAAGGTCCTACAGCTGGGTCAGAGCAATCCAAGGCACAGCTACAGGTTGGGCAGAGAAGAGATTCAGAGCAGCCCTGCGGAGAAGCACTTGGGGGTGTTGGTTGATGAGAAACTTAACATAAGCCAGCTTCAGCGTGCACTCGCAGCCCAGAAAGCCAACTGTATCCTGGGCTGCATCAAAAGGAGCGTGACCAGCAGGTTGAAGGAGGTGATCCTGCCCCTCTACTCTGCTCTTGTGAGACCTCACCTGGAGTATTGTGTGCAGTTCTGGTGCCCTCAACATAAAAAGGACATGGAACTGTTGGAACAAGTCCAGAGGAGGGCCACAAGGATGATCAAGGGACTGGAGCACCTCCTGTATGAAGACAGGCTGAGGAAATCTGGGGCTGTTCAGCCTGGAGAAGAGAAGGCTGCGTGGAGACCTCATAGCAGCCTTCCAGTATCTGAAGGGGGCCTATAGGGATGCTGGGGAGGGACTCTTCATTAGGGACTGTAGTGACAGGACAAGTGGTAACAGGTTAAAACTTAAATAAGGGAAGTTTAGATTGGATATAAGGAAGAAATTCTTTCCTGTTAGGGTGGTGAGTCACTGGAATGGGTTGCCCAAGGAAGTTGTGAATACTTCATCCCTGGTGGTGTTCAAGGCCAGGTTGGACAGAGCCTTGGGTGACATGGTTTTGTGTGAGGTGTCCCTGGCCACGGCAGGGGGGTTGGAACTAGATGATGTTAAGGTCCTTTCCAACCCTAAATATTCTATGATTCTGTGATGCTGTGAATGAGTCCATGATAGCACTCGGAGTGCTCCATTGGCAAATCCATGGTTAATCCACCACTCGGATGCAGCATGAAGTTTCTGTTCCCCTCATTCAAAATGTGTATTAGAAGAGGAGAGGAATCGAGGAAAGCAAAAAGTGTGATCAAAGACATGGAAGAGCTGTCTCATGAGAAATGACAGCGTGACTATTCCCTTAGTAGCCTGGAATTCTTCTAATGGGAAAAGAGGTTATTTAAAGGGGATATATGACAGAGGGCTATGAAATCATGAGTGGCATTAACCAAAAGCATAAGGAGCAGCTTTTGACTGTGTCTTCAGTATAGGAACCAGAGTCAATTAAATCAAGTGAGTGAGAGCCCAGTTCAAAAGGAACAAGGGAGTACTTAGATCTTCACACAACAGGTTGTAGATCTGTAAAACTCCTTGAGATAGGAGCTCAATGGATGCAAGACAATTTCACTGGTTTGAAGGGAAACTGGACAAATAAATAGAGGAAGGATGCATTAGGGATTACTGAGTAGGCTAAATAGAGGCATAGGATGGAAGCACCACAATTGCTTGCTCTGCTCTTACTTACTCCCAACATATCCATTTTCAGCTGTGGCTGAAAACAAAATGGAAGATAAATGGACCACTACAGCCATTTTTTATGTCTTTGGGGACTTTTGCCACTGAGTTTAGAAGCAGCAATTCTAGTCTTTTAAACCATAATTGATTCATTGATTTATTTAGGCCATTCTCAGTATGCACAGAATAAAATAATTATCTCCTCCTTGGTTTTCAAGTATCTTCCAGACATGTCACCAGTTTACTTTTTCCTTCCATTTTTAAGCCAACTGCCTTTAGAAGAAGATAAATACTTTGTTTTATTGTTGAGAACTTTATCATAGAATTAGTGTGGTTAAGTAGAATAAATATCGTTAGATAATAGGAAAAGATTTCATATGAAACATTTAAGTTACAGGGAACAGTGACACTCATGATGTCATCTGTAGCTGTACAATTTCTTTCCCATCAGCTTGTTAGCCCATGTCATCACTTGTTTTTGTCCAAGTGGAGTTTGTTAAATATGACAGGAAATTTGGGAGGGTGATATAAGCTTCAATTTATTCTTACCCCATTGCAGTCTGCAGTCAGAGTGACTTTATCCTTACACATCAGATTTTGTTGGAGAAGGAAGATGCTGGGATTATGTTTTACCCCATTAAGTTAATGCAGAAGAATCTAATAAGACTTGCATTGTTCCTTGTGAAATCATAAAAGCATAAATGAGATGTATCAGACAGATCCCACTGTATATTCATGCAGACAACTACAGCTATTCTGGTGCATTGCTAAAGAAAAACTTATCCATTGTTTACAGTATTTTTCTATTGATATAAATGAGCAATTGAAACTAAATTACTGAGATGTGCTTTCTACTGCAGTTTGAGTCACCCATATGTTCCAAAAAGGAGGTCTTTTCTACTTAGACCAAAAATTCCACAAAGGACTGAATTATGAGATATAAATCATTTCATTTCTCTGAAAGGAAGGGGATTGTTTTTATACTCTTGCATCTTTCTGTCCTTCCTGTAATGACATTCACACCGTGTCACCTAGAATTAGTGTCATACAGGAACAGTTTGAAGCAATCAAAGCTTCTATTTTAGAAAACTACAGAAACTTAGAAGGAGAAAGCCTATAAACATATGGTGTTTAGACAGGTGTTCTGTAAAATACAACTTTCCCCAGGTGAAGTTGCTGTCAGTGCTTTTAATCAAAAGAATACAAAAAGAATAGTCTGTCCATTTTCTTCCCCCTCTTCCTTGTGTTTTATTATTATGTTATGAAAAATAGAAGTCATGACCAACTTTTACATTGTGTTTTTCACCAACTAAAGGAAGGAAGAGGGCAGGTGGAAAATAAAAGTTCTATGAAGTGTAAGAGAATTACAAGGGCAATGAAAGTAGAACTCCTTACTGACCAAGGAAGGAAATGTAAATGACTTGGTCTTTCAGTGGCTGACAGTCCCCCAGAGCTCTCATCATCTTCTCCGTATCTTCCTTTTGAGGTAAGCTAGTGAGTAAGCATGGGCATGCTGGGAGCAAACTCAAAGAATATAAAAGGAATGTTAGTTTTGGTTTGGGTTTGCACTTGAAAGAAGGTATATGAGGTATACATACACACATATCCATCTCCCTAGAGATTTCATTGCCATTACTGGGACACCAGTCATTCTCCCTTTCCTTTACTACTAAATTACTATTGAATTCTACCAAAGTTATGCCCCCTAAGTGTCTCTACTATTTTGCATGCAATGCAGGCTCTGAAGCAAAAATCCTTAAGAAACAGATGAAAAGTGAGACTGCAATTCTTTTCCAGACTAATTCACCTGAATTTGGACTTCTATATGCAATGCCTACATTTGTGCTAGATGTTCAAGCTCGAATCATGGCAACCTAGGTTCAAACATATATAGGGTGTTACCTGAAATTATTCAAGGCATCTCAATTGCAGCTGTGTGCAAGAGACCCAGATTTCTTTGGAGATGCGGTGGAGGTGAGGAAGGATAGCTTAAAGCTTGTGAGACATTCCTGGGCACACACCTGGGCTACTGAATCAAGACTGTAGTCACATAGCCAATAGAGCCCCAGACTGCAATTCAACTTAGCTATAGCAAGTGCCTACTGCCTGGTCAGCTGAAAGATGGGCTGCATTACTGTCTCTATTGACTGCAATGAGACCATGCAGTCCTAGACAGAATATGCAGAATTATATACACCAAAATTAACTCAGTAGATCCAATTAGCTGGTTCCAGCCAGCTCCAACATCCCCACCACAGGACACAGCTCAGTCCAAATCTATGCTTTCCTTTTGACCTGGGTCTGATTGATATCTGTAAGTGCTCCACTTAAACTGTCTAATTTCAGCACTCAAGTTCTTCAGAGACTTAAAATCCCACTTCCACCTGCAGGTGTTTCAAGCCTGCCACTTTCCTTTTGAACATGCTATTTAAAGTTGTCCCTGAAAGAAATACACCCATCTAGAATTGTTTATAATAATATGAATCCTATCAGCAAGCAGAAAATGCATCAAAAGCTGACAATTTGTTTTGAGAAAAAGAAGGGGAGATATCGTGTCCTGTGGTGAGATAACATCCTGATGTTTAAAACATTCAGCCAATCTTTTCAGACTGCTGCCTCTCCAGGAGAGGATTTGCTTTATTTTTGTTGTGTAATAGCTAACTTATTAGAGCTTCATCTCCAGCTGGATCTTTAGCCACTGGAGCTATGCAAGTAATAAACGCTTTCTGTATCTTTCCATCCTCTCTTTTTACCTTTATTTTTTCACAGTAGGTGGGCTTTCATTGACTACCTGAAATAATTGACCTACAGAAGCACCAAGTTGTTAATCAACTGTTTCTACATGTGTATCGTCCTCTGTTTCTTTTTCTTAACTGAGAATTTACCCTCTAACAGAGCTTCCTACATTTACGTTGAATTATTTGTCTGACAGAAGCAGAGATTAGAAAATCTCATCCCATTTTAGACTCACTGTCAGTGTTCTGAGCAAGTAGAAAGGGGGGAGCAGGGAGCAGTGGATGCCCACATGAACAACAGTGCTGGGAGGTTACCAAGCAACAGGACAGAGATATGTCAAAAGGGCAAGGAAGATGGGGAAGACAAACAAAAATGTAGACAAAGGATTGGAGAAGATGAAGGGAGGCATCATGATTGCCTGACCTCCTTCTTATTTCTTACCTGGAGTTGCAGTGGTGTCCCTAAATACAGGCTGTGTAAAGCATCCCAATTTATTTACATGGAGAATGGAGAAAGGCTGGTGGGCTACCTGATTGTCAAAGGATTATTCTGTCAGCAGTACACTGAGTGAATAGAATGGGACACAGTGTGCATATGAACATGAAAAGCACGTGTTTTTTGCTGGGAGAGAAGGAGTCACAGTGCAAACAGATCTTGTTGCAATATACACAGAGTAAAATATATTAGAACCTGATTTGACTTCAGAAAAGTTCACAGTCCACAGAACAGCTTAAATTTGGAAGTTATATTTTCTTGGGGTTATGAATGTCTTAAAATATGCTCTTGCACCTGTTTTCTACACCTTTTTCTCTACCCAAATCATTTAAATTAGATCAGCTTTCTTCAATGCGAGAGACAAGGAAAAGATGAGATGTAGAATCACTATCTGC